AGTCTGCCTTCAGCCTCGGCCTCAGCCTCAGCCTGCCTCAGCCTCAGCCTGCATCAGCCTCAGCCTCAGCCGCAGCTTGCCTCAGCATCAGCCTGCCTCAGCCTCAGCCTCAGCCACAGCCTGATTCAGCCTCAGCCTCAGTCTGCCTGAAGCCTCGGCCTCAGCCTCAGCCTGCCTCAGCCTCAGCCTCAGCCTGCCGCAGCATCAGCCTGCCTCAGCTTCAGCCTCAGCCTCAGTCTGCCTTCAGCCTCGGCCTCGGCCTCAGCCTGCCTCAGCCTCAACCTGCATCAGCCTCAGCCTCAGCCTCAGCCTCAGCCTCAGCCTGCCTCAGCCTCAGCCTCAGCCTGCTTCAGCCTCAGCCTCAGTCGGCCTTCAGCCTCGGCCTCAGCCTCAGCCTGCCGAAGCTTCAGCCTGCCTCAGCCTCAGCATCAGCCTGCCTCAGCATTCAATATGTGGCCCGGGAATTGAATTCTGGGAACTCGAATAGCACGAAGTGGACTACAGCTGGCCCCGGGCATTCAGAATCATACCCAGGAATGGAGTTCTGGGAACTCGAAGACCACGAAGTGGCCTACAGTTGGCTCCGGGCATTCAAAATGTGGCCCGGGAGTGGAATTCTGGGAACTCGAAGAACACGAAGTGGACTACAGCTGGCTCCGGGCATCAAAATGTGGCCCGGGAATGGTGTTCTGGGGAGTCCAAGAGCACGAAGTGGCCTACGGCTGGCTCCGGGCATTCAAAATGTGGCCCGGGAATGGAGTTTTGGGAAGTCGAAAGCACGAAGTGGCCTACAGTTGGCTCCGGGCATCGAAAATGTGGCCCGGGAATGGAGTTCTGGGAAGTCGAAGAGCACGAAGTGGCCTACAGTTGGCTCCGGGCATTCAAAATGTGGCCCGGGAATGGAGTTCTGGGAGGTCGAAGAGCACGAAGTGTGCGATTGTTTGCTTAAAACGAGCTTGGTTCTCGCTTGTCCGGCTCCCGCCCAGACCCCCTTCGGGAGTCATCAGAGGCTATCTTTTGACCCCATTAGAAACCTATCAGTCTTCGTTGTTAGGTAAAAATGCAGGAGATAGCCATAGCGTCGAACATCATGACTTCAAGGTACGTATACAACTGGAAATTCGTGAAGAACGAAAAGGGTGAGATGGAACGTACCATCCGACTTCGTTTGGTACTTCGATGCTTCGTGGACCTCGAAGCTTTCGACGTGGAAACATGTTCGGGAACAGCCAGAAGGTCAAGCCAGAGGTTACTTGCCAGCACGGCAGCGTGCAAGAAGCAGTGAATCATTGCTTCCCTCGACATCAACATGGCCTTCCTGAAGGGATTGACCTATCGGGAACTCGCTGAGGCAACAGGTGAAAAGGAACGTGTGGCGCGCTTTACCTTGCCGCCTGGATCGGCAACTGTGCTCCGTACTCTTCCAGGGTTTGAGAACTACGACGAGTCAAAGCACTGTTTGCAGCGCTTGAAACCGGGCACAGGCACTAGGGATGCCCCACGGGCTTCCTCACTTAAGCTCAGGAGAACCACCAGAGGATTTGGCCTCCGACCTACGCCAGACGACGAGGAGTTCGAGACGAGCAACAAGTTGCTCACGGCCAAGCATGTTGATGACATTAATCTGGCCAGCACTGAGGACACTATTGACAAGTATGTCAAATGCGTCGAGGACACCTTCGGTAAGTGTAAACTCAACAAGCACACATACACGGACTGTGCTGTGAGATACACCAAGGATGAGGACTGCAATGTCACTTTGGATCAAGATGAATATATTAAACAGCTCCGTCCTATACAACATCCTGAACTGACCGGTGCTGACGCCGACGCTCAAGCGACCAAGATGGTGGCAGACATGTTCGTCAGTCTCAGAGGTACGTTGGCATACGCACTGATCACCCAGGTATGATTGATGGTATATGTTGTATCTCTACAGCGTGTCCAAAACCGACCAATATTCAAGTGCGACGACTGAACGCGATCACCAGAAAGCTACAGGCCTACCCGAAGAAGATCGTCTACCAGGCGATGAATCCCACGGGCGCGGTCGACTTACATAGCGACTCAGGCTATCGACGCCGGAGTGGAGACGCCGACGACGACGAGAAAGGCTATGGCACTCGCGGGGCAAACCTGCTACGACGTGGAAACACGTCAGCTGGCAAGCCTGTCGTTCGCCTGATTGATGCGCACTGCAAGTCTCACCGCTTGCAAGTCCGCTCAAGCTACTCAGCAGAGACGCGTGCAGCAGCCCATAATTTGGAGGACTGTCATCCCACGATTGTGACTCTGCACGAGTTCCACGCGGGGCCACCCACGCCCACCCAGTTGAAAGACATACTTGAGTTGGGTGGCCTGAGGATCAAGGTCACCTTGACCATCGATGCTGAGTATGTTTGTAAGACCTTGTCAAGCAAAGACTTGAGGAAGCCGACTGAGTGTACCCTGTTAGGACACATCACTTGGATACGACAGATGCTGGAGCGTGGAATCGCGCATAGAATTCAGTGGCGTGATACCCGCGACATGACTGCGGATGGACACACCAAGGGGAGCATCGACAGAGAGATGCTCCTACAAGTCATGGGAGGTATACAGACCTTTAAACATGACCTGAAGAGACATACGCCATATCGGGCCAGCCTGACATCAAGTTCTGACGCCGCCTGATGAGTATGTCATGCATGTGCGAGGCAACTTGCTGGCGGGTCCAACTCCTTTGGGCCTGTCTCCTTTCCTGTCTTTGTATAGGTTAGCTGCTGAACTGTTCCTGCTTTACGGGTGGCGGACGCACGCTTCGTCTCCCCCCCCCCGACTCCAAAGCGAGCTGGGGGATGTAGGGGGTGGAAGCGAGCGTGCGCCCGCGGCCGCCTTGGCTCAAAGCGGCCGGCCGCCCATATTTGACGGTGCTTCACCGCGAGGCACACTATCGCTATTGATACTTAAAAGCAACCCCTTTTACTTGACATGGCATCCCCTCTTGCATTGGGATTTTCGCTACTGCGATACAACCGAACTGGAGTTCGGTTTCGCCTGAGGCGAAGCTGTTGGCTGGGCCTCCCTGTCAAACTGGCCGATCTTGGATCCAAGAGATTGGAAAGCGACAAACAGTGCAAACCAGCATTACCAAAATATGGCCAGGCGAAGGGCCCAATGATAGGCCGTTGTGAGTAGCGCAGTTGTCAGCATCGTCTTCGGTGGAGCTCCCTATGGGGCTACGAAGTGTGTGAACGGTGTGCCGAAATGGGTGAGCACTGCTACTGGGGTCTCCTGTGGAGCTCCCTATGGGGCCACGAAACGTTTGAAGGCTATGCCGAAATGTGCCAGAAGGTGCATGCGAGCACTGCCACTGGGGCCTTCGGTGGGGCTACCTATGGGGCCACGAACCGTATGAGGGGGTGCCGACATGGGTACTGGGGGCCGCACGCGAGCACTGCCACTGGGGCCTTCGGTGGACCTCCAGATGTGGACACGAACCGTGTGAGGGGTGTGCTGACATGGGTGCGGGGGACGCATGCGAGGATTGTCATCGGGGTTTTCGTTGGAGCTCCACGCGGGGCCACGAATCGCATGAGAGGTTTGCCAACATTCGCACGCGGGACGCATGCGAGCACGGCCACCCAGGGCCTTCGGTGGGGCTCCGTGTGTGGCCACGAACCGTCTGAAGGGTGTGCCGACATGGGTGAGCATTGTCACTGGGGCCTCCGGTGGAGCTCCCTAGGGGGCCACGAACCGTGTGAGCGGTGTGCCAAATGGGGCGCGGGGAACGCATGCGATCACTGCCATTGGGGTTTCTGTTGAGCGCCTTATGGGGCCACGAACCGTGTAAGGGGCCTGCCCACATGGGTGCGGGGGGCGCATGCGAGCACTGCCATTGGGGTCTTCGGTGGAGGTCCGCATGTGGCCACGAAACGTGTGACGGGTGTGCCGACATGGGTGCGGGGGACGCATGCGAGCATTGCCATTGGGGCCTTCGGTGGAGCTCCCTATGGGGACACGAACCGTTTCAGGAGTTTGCCGAAATTGGTGCGGGGGACGCATGCGATCATTGCCACTGGGGCCTTTGGTGGAGCTCCGTACGTGGCCACAAACTGTGTGAGGGGCGTGCCGCCGACATGGGTGCGGGGGTTGCATGCGAGCATTGCCATTGGGGCCTTCGGTGGAGCTCCCTATGGGGCCACGAACAGTGTGAGAGGTGTGCCGACATGGTTGCGGGAGGCGCGTGCGAGCAATGCCAATGGGGCCTTCGGTGGATCTCCCGTGTGAGGGGTGTGCCGACATGGGCACGGGGGACGCATGCGAGCATTGCCAGCGGGGCCTTCTGTGGAGCTCCCTATGCGGCCACGAACCGGGTGAGGGGTGTGCTGGGCTGGGTGCGGAGGACGTGTGCAAGCATTGCCATTGGGACCTTCGGTGGAGCCCCCTTCTGGGGCCACGAACCGTGTAAGGGGTGTGCTGTCATGGACATGCGGAGGGCAGGGGTACAGATGGGAGTGTGAGGTAGGGAGGAGAGGGCGGAGGAGGAGGAGGAGGAGGAGGAGGAGGAGGAGGAGGAGAGGATAGAGAAGGACGCGGGGCGCTGTCTCTTCAAAACGAGGACCCAACATCACAGCACGCTTGGGAATAATGTTGTTGGCCCCCCGAAGGCCTTTCATAGAGCGTCTTGAGTGTCTGCTGTAGCCTTTTGAAAGCATCTGGATGGCCTCTTGGGATTTATTGGGCGCTTCTGAGGGGCTATTGGGTGCATCTCGGGGCGATCCTGGGCCATCTTGGCAGCTGCAGTGGCCTACCTGGGCCATCTTGAAACTCATCCCGAGCATACGACACGCCTAGGTAAGCGCCGGGGAAGCGTTCGGGCGCCCAGGGAGCTATGCCTGCAACGAGATGTGACGACCAGGAGGGTCTTTCGGAAAACTGGCAGAAAGCTTACCAGACTGCACGTGGCATTCTATCACGCCTCAACGTGCCAGCGGGCACGGTGGCGGACCACGGTCCAGAGGATGGCTCAGCAGTTGCAGCGGAACCACGGCAGGGTGCTGCTGCAGAGGTGCGCAGCTGCGTGGCGCCACGGCAGGCTGCAGAGAAGGCATGCCGCGGAGTTGGAGCAGGTGCGCAAGGCTGGCGTCGGCCGTGGCGTCGCCTCTTCAAACATCGTGGCGGAGCGGCTGCAGCGACTGCGGGTGGTGGACGCAGCGCGGCGCGTCCTGGGCGCATGGGCGAGGGGCGCGCATCGTCAGCGGGTGCGGGCCCAGATGGACGTGGGCGACCGCTCGGCCGAGGTGGTGGCGAGGCACTTCCGCGCAGCGCAGACCGCCAAGGTGCTGCGGCGGATCGTGCACGACTGGGGCAGGGAGTCGCTGCGCGAGCGTGCGCAGAAGGCCTCGGAGCGGTCGAGGCTGCCCGAGGGGATCATGGAGCGGATGGCGGACAGGATCCGAGCGCAGCACGACGCGGAGCTGACGCAGTGGTGCCTGGCCTGCTGGACCGCGCACAGCCACCGGGAGGCCATGCACCGCAGGCACGCGTCGGAGCTCCAGGAGCTGCGCGCCGCCAGCGCCCTGCGCGGGGCCGACAGGGCCGAGCGCGCGGCGGAGAGGTTCCGTGCAGCCGAGGGCGCGCTCCTCGCTCAGTGCTGCTTGGCAGCCTGGGCGCGCGGCGCCAACGTGGAGCGGATGCACCGACAGCACGCGGCGGCACTGGACCGCCTCCGCCACGGGGAGCAGCAGCTCTCCGTGAGGGCCGCTGCGGCTTCGGTGGCGAGCAGGATGGCCGAGGACGCGGACTTGCTGCTCCTGGGCAGGCTCCAGGCGGCCTGGTCCAAAGTCGCGCGACTGGAGCGCGTGGGGCGCAAGTTCCAGCAGGAGCGAGAGGGCACCGCCGATGTGGTGGCGGAGAGAATGAGGCAGTCACACTTGAGGGAGCTGCTGGCGGGCTGCCTTGCCGCCTGGCAGCGGGAAGGCCAGTGGGCGGCCCAACGTGCCAGGGCTCTGGGCGAGAGGGAGGCTGCGGCCGAGAGGATGGCAGAGAAACTCAGGAAGGGCCACATCCGGGAGCTGCAGCTCAACACTGTGGCCGGCTGGCGCGAGGAGGTCCAGCGGGCCCATCGGCGCGCGGAGCGGGACAAGCACCTCGCGGAGCGCGAGGCATTGGCAGAGAAGTTCGCGGAGAAGATCAGGGACACTCACAGTCGGGAGTTGCAGCTCACCACCGTGGCCGGCTGGCGCGAGGAGGTCCAGCGGGCCCATCGGCGCGCGGAGCGGGACAAGCACCTCGCTGAGCGCGAGGCAGCGGCGGAGAAGTTCGCGGAGAAGATCAGAGACACTCACAGTCGGGAGTTGCAGCTCAACACTGTGGCCGGCTGGCGCGAGGAGGTCCAGCGGGCCCATCGGCGCGCGGAGCGGGACAAGCACCTCGCTGAGCGCGAGGCAGCCGCGGAGAAGTTCGCGGAGAAGATCAGGGACACTCACAGTCGGGAGTTGCAGCTCAACACTGTGGCCGGCTGGCGCGAGGAGGTCCAGCGGGCCCATCGGCGCGCGGAGCGGGACAAGCACCTCGCGGAGCGCGAGGCATTGGCAGAGAAGTTCGCGGAGAAGATCAGGGACACTCACAGTCGGGAGTTGCAGCTCAACTCTGTGGCCGGCTGGCGCGAGGAGGTCCAGCGGGCCCATCGGCGCGCGGAGCGGGACAAGCACCTCGCGGAGCGCGAGGCATTGGCGGAGAAGTTCGCGGAGAAGATCAGGGACAGCCACATCCGAGAGTTGCAGCTCAACACTGTGGCCGGCTGGCGCGAGGAGGTCCAGCGGGCCCATCGGCGCGCGGAGCGGGACAAGCACCTCGCTGAGCGCGAGGCAGCCGCGGAGAAGTTCGCGGAGAAGATCAGGGACACTCACAGTCGGGAGTTGCAGCTCAACTCTGTGGCCGGCTGGCGCGAGGAGGTCCAGCGGGCCCATCGGCGCGCGGAGCGCGACAAGCACCTCGCGGAGCGCGAGGCATTGGCGGAGAAGTTCGCGGAGAAGATCAGGGACACTCACAGTCGGGAGTTGCAGCTCAACTCTGTGGCCGGCTGGCGCGAGGAGGTCCAGCGGGCCCATCGGCGCGCGGAGCTCGACAAGCACCTCGCGGAGCGCGAGGCAGCGGCGCAAAGGATGGCGCAGCGGCTAATCATTGGCCACGGGCAAGAGTTGTTGGCAGCCACAGTTGCGCACTGGCACAAGGAGGCTCATCGTCTCAAAGAGCGGTCGCGGGAGCTCGCCGACAAGGAAGATGCGGCCGCGCGGATGGCTGACCAATTTGAGAAGAACCACTGCCGGCATCTGCTGGCCTCTTGCGTGGGCGCGTGGGCTGGCCACGCCTCGCGCGAGCGCGCGAGGGCGAGACAGGCGGCGGAGCTCGACCAGCTCAGGAACGCGCAGCGCGAGAGGGGCGACGCCACCGCGGAGCGCTTGGCGGACAGTTGGGTCAGGGCCAGACTCCACGAGCTGGTGCGGGCGTGCCTGGACAGCTGGACAGAAGGTGCGCAGCAGCTGCGGGCCCGCAGGGGCCGGGCGGAGCAGGTCGCGGAGCAGTGGCGCTCGGAGAGCTTGGGGGCTCTTCAGCGCGCGTGCCTGGCGGCTTGGTCTGCGTGGTGCCGCGACGCGCGCCTGCAGCAGGAGCGCGGCGCGCAGGCCGCGGAGGTGGCCCGCCTGAAGGCGATGCAGAACTCCGAGCTGGAGCAGCTGAGGCATGTCCAGCGCGAGCGCGGCGACGCCACCGCCGAGCGGATGGCGGACCAGTTCAAGGCCGCCCGCGAGGTGGGGTTGCTGCAGCAGTGCATGGCCAGGTGGGCGCCGCTCGCGAAGCTGCAGCAGAAGAGCAAGGAGGCGGCGCTGCGGGCCGCAGAGGAGTGGTCGACGGAGGCCGCGAGGGAGCTCCTGCGCTGCACCCTGTGCGCGTGGTCCCGCGACGCCCACCGAGAGGCCGCGAGGGCCAGGCACGCCGCGGAGATGGAGAGCTGGAGGGAGTCGGAGCGCGTCAGAGGCGACGGCACCGCGGAGCTCATGGCGGAGCGGCTGCGCGCGGAGAGGCTGCGCGGCCTGCTGCAGGCGTGCCTCGGCGCGTGGCAGGACGACCGGGCGCGCGAGAGGTCCAGGGCGCAGCACGCCGAGCACGCCGCCCTCGTGCAGCGGGTGGCGGGGCGGCTGCGCGCCACGAGGGAGCGGGCCGCCGAGGCCCAGTGCAGGGCGCGCTCCCGGAGGGCCCTGGGCGCCTGCGTGGGTGCCTGGGCGAGGCGGTCGAGCCAGCAGGCCGCCAGGGCGCAGGCCGGCTGGGCGCGCCGGAGGAGGCCGGAGGGCCTCTGCTTCCACGCATGGGCTCGCCTGGCGAGCCGACAGGCGCCGCCGGTCGCGCGCGGCAGCGTCGCCACGCTCGGGGCCGTGGTGGACGCCGACCAGCTGGTGCTCGCGGCGGACGCGCTCCCGGAGCAGGACGCGCAGGCGGAGCCGCTGCCCCCCCGGGAGCTGACGGTGGGCGAGGCCGAGGCGCTGGTCGAGGAGGTGGTGGCCCTGAGGTCCGCCGGGGCCGAGCTGCGGGCCCGGCGGGAGGCGCTGGAGGAGGATCAGGAGGGGACAAAACACACAGACACAATGAATCGCCCGTTCCCAGGTAAATGTGAGAAAATTCGGGAAGTGAGGGGGAAGACGAAAGCCCAGAGAAGATGGGGAAAGATGGGGAATCCTGGGATCTGTGTCTGCTTATTTCTGTGTGTGTGTGTGTGTGTGTGTGTGTGTGTGTGTGTGTGTGTGTGTGTGTGTGTGTGTGTGTGTGTGTGTGTGTGTGTGTGTGTGTGTGTGTGTGTGTGTGTGTGTGTGTGTGTGTGTGTGTGTGTGTGTGTGTGTGTGTGTGTGTGTGTGTGTGTGTGTGTGTGTGTGTGTGTGTGAGTGTGAGTGTGAGTGTGAGTGTGAGTGTGAGTGTGAGTGTGAGTGTGAGTGTGAGTGTGAGTGTGAGTGTGAGTGTGAGTGTGAGTGTGAGTGTGAGTGTGAGTGTGAGTGTGAGT